ATTTTACTCATGTCTATCTTCATTTTCCGGCGTAATGTGGTCTTTGGTCCTACTCTTTTCCTTTGGCCTTCAGGATTCCATGTGAGGGCTTGTCTTGTGATGCAGTTGTGTGCTTCCCTCAGTGTGTGTCCTATCCACTTCCAGCGACTCTTCCAGATTTCTTCCTCAGCCGGAATCTTGTTTGTTCTTTCCCATAGTAGGTTGCTGCTGATAGTGTCTGGCAAACGGACCAGAAATATTTTGTGTAGACAACTGTTAATAAACACCTGTATTTTCTGGATGATGGCTTTCGTAGTTCTCCAAGTTTCCACCTCATACAGAAGAACTGTCTTGACATTTGTATTGAAAATTCCGACTTTGATGTTGGCAGTTGACAGTTGTTTTGAGTTACAGATGTTCTTCAGTTATAGAGATGCTGCTCTTGCTTTGCCGATCCGCGCCTTCACATCTGCATCAGATCCATCGTGTTCATCAGTGATACTGCCCAAATATGTAAAGGTCTTTACATCTTCCAAATCTCCGTCAAGTGAGAATTGGTTGGTACATGTTTTGTTGCATCGAAGAATCATGCTTTTCCCTTTGTGTGTGTTGAGACCTACTGCTGCTGAGGCTGCTGCTACACTGGTCGTCTTCTTCTGCATTTGTTGTTACGTGTATGATAAAAAAGTCCGATCATTTGCGAAGCCTAGATCATCCTGCTGCATCCTATCTGTCCACTATATCTCATGCTTTCCCACAGATGATGACGTATTCATGATCCAATCGATCACCGGGAGAAAGAGAAAGGGTGAGAGTAAGCAACTTTGCCTGACACCGGTCTTTACCACGAACGAGTCTGTCAGCTGTCCTCTATGCACGATTTTGCAGTTTAATCCATCATAATTCTTTTAATAAGCCTACATTAATTGTCTATTTTGCTTAATATGAAAGTGAGTACAGATATAAACTGTATACAGAGTGTTTAATGATAAAATCATGGATCTTACAAATAGTTAAAATCTATTTATTTTTCAGATTCATTTGATTTATTGTCACAAACAGTTTACAATCTCTGAAATGGGCATGAAAACTATCTCTAAAGCAATAGATACAAAATTATTTGTTATTAACAAAGGTACTAATGATCTATCTACCAGATCTACATAATATGGTACCAAAATATCCATTCTTCAAGGTTTGATGAAGTTCAGTCTTACACTAAAAAGTTTATATCAAAACTAATTTCAACATATTCCGTGTAATCCATACAATCAAACGAAAAGCGTTGAATTCACTCATTTTCCACAATATAAGTCAACCTATCTTGATATTATTTAGTTGAGTATTTTTCCTGATGGTTAATTTAATCTGAAGAAATAATATCTACTGAAGGAGCTTGAAATACTGTAAAACAGTGGATTAGTGAGCTGTTCTAGTAAGGTGCAGATAGATGATTTTATAAATGGCCTAATTAAGAATTCTAGGTCTCATGCCTAGCACGATTCAATAATCCTCATTTTTTAATGATTTCTGAGATAAAAAATGTATACCAAGGAAAGTGTATTGAAATCAAACTCATATACACGGAATACACATTTAAACAACAATCGCAGAAGTTGGTGTGGACTATCGGTCTACTAACTATAAAATCCAGAGGCTCAAAGTTCAACTTTTCATAAGGTTTTTGTTGTGGAAATATTAAAGTAAAGAGTATAAGGAGGATTTCAACGGGAAACGATATTTATATAATATTAATTCATAAACAATTCATGAAATAGCTACTATCTTTGAAATGTATAATGTTTATAAAACTGCTCCTTAAAAAAGAGTACTTGGGCCATCAAGATAACAGTCATCTAGGAGTTACTACTGGACCACATTTTCCAGCTTATAATTTAGTCAACGCATGAAACTCTAAAAACTAACTCATAGAATTTACTTTCAACTAGAATTCTTCCTAAATTTCTTCCGTGTATACAAATTTAGTTGTATGTCTTACTAGAACAAAGTGAGTTCCATCTAAGGGGAATCTTTTAACAAACAGTTGCAAACTCTTGCAAGTTTTGTTGTAATATAGGCTGATATATTGTTGGTAAGCATAGTTTATCGAACCCATTTACAGGTTTTCGAAAGAATCACAAACCGAATAACATCAGATTATCAACACCAAGTTTATGCTTGTAGAAAAAGCGAAGTAATTTTAGAGATTAAACTACCTTATATGTAAGGTAATGATCTAATTCGAAGGAGAACCTAGTAGATGTAATAAACTGGAAATGAATGACCTTCTAGAAGCTGACTCGGTTCTCTACGTATCAGCTAATTAGATTTGAAAATGTAATGCTATAACAGTAGGAAAATTTTCGTTAAGAATATATATTTCTTATCCAGTCATTTAATTAAATCAAAGATATTTTCTGAAACTAAGTTTCATTACAGCATTATTAGATCGTCACCAAGTTTCAAAGTGCTTGATGATATTAAAATGATAGAAATTCTATAATTTATAACATTGCTAATCTTAAAATCCCATCAATTATTGCACTGCATATTACAGACCGGTGTTCAAACCTTCTTTACTTGCATGCTATTTTAAATTCGAAGCTAACCTTAATCTTGATGTTAACTGCAACATAGGCTACCGTCGGCTATTTAAAATTATTATAAATAATAAATATATCAAGTTACACTCTCCTAATGTATGGATTTATATGTCAATCTGATAGTTCACATTTTGAAGTTTTGCACCAAAAGTTAAATAAGTCGTTTACCGCATGTCGAAGCATTTAATTTTAATTTAAAATAATAAAAAAACATAGATACAAGGTATCAGTTCCTAGTACTTTATTCACATACTATTTCTTCCCATACAATGATAATAGATGCCTAGCTAACCAATCTATTATTATAACAGTGGCCCATATGAATATTTGGAACACTTAACTTCTAACTGGGCAAACAATACAATTAACCTACCTATTTTAGATTTGTATCAGAAGGCGTTTCGTTGAGGTTATAGCAATTTTAATAGTTGAGATTGAGTTAATGAAAGCTAAACCACCATGGAAAGCTTGAAAGCACTGGATGGCCGTTTTATTCTATTGTGGGACTCCTCGGCAATGCATATCCACCATTCCGCCACGCGAGATCTGAACCCAGGAACTGTCAGTCTCACGCGCGAACACTTAACCTGTAGACCACTGAGTCGGCATCTGACGGTGTTAATGTCTACCTTCAACTAACTCACGAAATTGAGGCGTCCCACAATAGGATATTTTTTCTTAATTATCTATCATTTGATAAACAAGGACAAATACATTGTAATTCAACTATCTTAAACAAGACAGATTGGTAAATAACTTTAGTATTTGAAGTGGTAGAAAAGTTTAATAATCGTCTAAAGTACGTATCAAACTATATCTTAAATGAATAAAAATAATATATTTGTAATATCCCAATGAGTAGAAAATTGGATTTTCTACTCATTGGGATATTACAAATATATTATTTTTATTTATAACAATCAACCCAATGCTCAATTTATTCGAAATTATCAAATCAAACCTTGGTAATGACACCTATATCTTAAATGATTATATTTTAAGTTCACGCTCGAAAAAAGATTCGTTTTTATATTGAACACTCAGTGCTGAACATTTTATGCCCTTAAAGAGTTTATAATATTGAATATAACTAGTATTATTATTTTCACTCATGCTATTACTTTATTATTATTATTATTATTTAATAGAATGACGAAGAAACACCAAAACAGATTCTGTTTCTAAAGCAACTTTAACTGTTCCTAATATCAATAAGAAGGAATATATATTTGGTAATGTATGTAAATAAACAATGTTCACGTTTCTTTCAAGTTCAGTCTTGCTTTAGAATCCTTGTAAGTGATTATAAACAAAAAGATTATCTTGATCATATCAAATAAACCAATCATTTAATAGACGGTTACTAATAAAATTAATATCCCAATGAGTTGAAAAATCTAATTTTCTATATATATAAGCAAAGATGGATAGTGGCTAGCAGTGGGATCTAAAACACGCGTTTCGTCTTATTTTGAGCTCATCGGCTAGATGTACCTGCATCTCAGAGTTGATGTTCACTCTGGGACTTGAATCAAATACCGTTCGCTTCAAACGTCATCACGTTATCCACTTAGCTACTAAGCCCTGATACCCACTGCTATCCACTATCCATTTTTGCTTGTAATGCTTGTGAATTAAGATAATATCGAGGTAATACGCACAGTATGCACATATGCTAATAAGAGACTGGTCAATTGCAGTCCTAAACATCAATGGGAAGATTCAAGTAAACAATACCAAGTGAATGTATATATTGATTTGTCTAAAATATTGATAAACTTTGTTCGGAAAACTAATGATTCGACTATCTAACACTACAATCAAATATGATAACCTATTTGTTAAGACATATTCATACAATTTAATTCGATTCTCTATTTGAAGTTTCTTTGATTTTACTCATTTCATTATTAAAAGTATTCAAGAAGAACTAGGATCTTTGTGAAGTTTTTGATCAAAATAAAAGGCATAATTTTATATTTTCTGTTTGAAAGAAGAATAAAAATATACATTCGTTTATTTGGAGTTTTTTATCATTGGGATTCCTGATACCTGAATACGTCAAATGAACAAACATTAACAAATACTTGCATATTTTTTCTCTTCAATCAGGTTCATATTAACCTGTTTTGATAATTACTCCATAAAATCCTAAAGATATAAATGAATGTTTTCATGATATTAAGAATATCATCTAGTTGTAATAACATATTGTATATCATTCAGTATGAATGAAGATGTTCAATGTTCAATGTGAATAATTTGTTTTGCCATTATTCTAAACATAATTCAAATGTTAGCTAATGAGTTCAATGACTGTACAAAATTATTAATAATATAATAATCATCATCATAAACACATTTACAATCATAATATTGTCTATATAGACTAAACATAGTTAATAATGGAAGAAAAATTTAATCACCATCTTTAATTAATCTGTCAAATATTTGTACTCCAGGAAATGTATAAGGTAATGCTATATCAATACCATCCATTACTCGTTGAGTACTTCTATAGCTAAACTTAAAATTGAATAAAAAAAACAAAACAAATAAATGATATTATCAGAAGGGGTTTTGTGGAGAATTTAGAAATTTCACTGGTTGAAGTCATGAGTCATTTGAAGCTAGACCACCATGGAAAACCTGGAAGCAATGGATGGCCGTTTCATCCTAGTATGGGACTCCTCAGCAGTGCACATCCATGGTCCCGCACCCCGCGAGATTCGAACACAGGACCTATTAGTCTCGCGCGCGAGCGCCTAACCATTAGAGCACTGAGTTGGCATCCAGCGGTGTTAATGTCTAACTTCAACCAATCCACAAAGTTGCGCCACTGTATACCATTGTCTTCAGTGAGCTGATATCTCACAAGAGACCTGGTTAAATATTAACATTGATCGTGGATGCGTACTGCTGAGGAGTCCCATACTAGGACGAAACGGCCGTTTAGTGCTTCCAGGTTTTCCATGGTGGTCTAGCTTCAATTGACTCATGATTTCAACCAGTGAAATAAATGATACTTTACTAGATTTTTATTGAAAAACAAACAAACAAAGCATTGTAATAAAATAAAAACATTTTATGTTACTGATATAATTTATAATAATGAAAATGAATAGTTTGAAATCAGTGAGACTTGACAAATAAAACAAATCATGATAAATAAGTATTTGATATGTTGATATGAGTAAACTAAGATTTGTTATTCCTTACATCATCGACTGATTTCAACTATGAGAGCATTGAAAACTGAAAAAAAAAACACTGGACAACGGTTTAGTCTTAGTATAGAATTCACTCAACAATGAGGATTCATGACCCTATTTAGGATCGAACTCAAAACTTTCAGTTCTCGCAGTGAGTGGTTAGTCTCTAAATCACTGAGCCTGGATTCTATAATAAATATATCTAACTACGATCAGTTTAAGATATTGACATATATGGTTGAACTTTACTGCTTCCTAGTTTTCAAATAATGTCAAACTAAGATCAGTCCTGATGTAAACTGTGGGAATTCAAGAATATGCATAATCTCCATTTACTAAAGTTTATTAGCTAAAATGAAGTAATAATAGAAACATGGGAAGACGATCGGTTGGAATACAAATAATCAACAAACTGGATGGCATATTAAAAAAATATTTTCCTTATTTCAGAGATTGTTAAAGGTATGGTGAAAACAAGTTTAAAAGATTTAGAAATTCGAATGGCGAATTCATTCGTTTTTTAAAATATTCAACTTAGTGGAAGGGGACTAAACATTTTGGAATTCGCTGATAATTATCTGCTTCCGAACTTTAAAGAACTCTGTAGTTCTATTGAGAAACCGTGACAGGTGTAGTTCAATCCTTGTCGAATGTGAGATAGTATTCCATCCCAGGCAACATATGAGAATTACACAATATCATGAATTATTTGAAGTCAGACATTAACACCGTTGGCTTCCACCTCAGTTTTGTAGAGATTGAGCGCTCGAACCTAAGACAGAGGTTTCTGGGTGTGATTCTCGATTGTGAGGTTGTGTATGTGCACTGCTGAAGAGTACCATAATAGGACGTTATACTTGTTATACTAGTAACATCACTTGTAATTGCAATAATAAATTTACATGTACCTGCAATAGCAGGTGCATAATAAAAACAGAGATTAGGGCCTTTAAAAGGTTTTCTGAATACATTCCTAGGAACCTACGGGTGAAAAGAAATAAGGTTTTAACAAGTACAACCGCCAGATATCATTTGAATGATAGATACGAAGCAGATGTAAGTAATGGATTAAAAATAATGTTCAGACAAATAAAAAACATCCTTCCTACTCCATTCGGCAGAGGCAATCGTCATCAAACGTTTCTGACCTTACTTATGCATACAAAATGAAAATGCGATTAACCTTTTCCTTCCATGATAATTGGAGATTCATCTTATAACCCTTAGTAATTCTGACTTATAATCCTTTTATTTCAACCCTGTTTCCAATTATTTTATTTTTATTATTCTTTCGTCGTTTGATATTCATCTGTTACATAATCTGATTGATCTCTACATGTCTGTTTATTTTGTCGTGTCGGGTGATTACCCAATCACTTATTAATTTCATTCCCGTTACATAACCTCTGAAATATTACTTTCCAGTACATAAATACACATCGATCTTAAATATGTTTATGCACATACTTTGTATCCTTATTCTACTTATTATTATGATTTCGGTAACATTTCGCACATTTATTTAAAATTCACAAACAAAAGCATGTTAAACATCAAATGATGAGGAGAGTTATTCATATCAAGTATTGGATGTAAGGGGATATTCTTCTTATGAACTTTTGGGAGCGGAAACCGGTGGTCTAAGATGTTCATAGAGGTCATAGTTTGTACTAAACTTATCTTTATCCTCCCTTAGGATGCTAAGTACTTAGTATTACTGGTATTATTTATTATAATTTTAATTTGTATGAAACGGATGAGAAGCTGTCGTAAAGCATGAATTCATTTTCTTCTTCAAACCTCAAATCTTTTTTCCTTTTTATTCTGATACTGTTTACAAGATTTCAGTAGATGAGCAGGATAATAAAAATAAACACATAGAAAAACTGTCCTTACTTGTCCAGATCGTGGGTGATAAAATTGAGCTCCTATTCTTGAGAGTAGTTCATCCACAAGGACCTTAGTAAGCTTTGGATGGCTTTTAAATGTGCTAAAAGTTAACATAAAATTTATTATTCAGATAACTATAATTTATAGTGTTATGGATAAATATTTACATATAAGAGTAGTTTTATAATAATAGTCGACGACATGTATCAGTAATCAGTAATTAAAATTTTAAATAGCTCTGCATATTGAGATTGTAATGGTCTGGTGACACAGCTTAACTATTAGAATTTATGAACTTTCATTTTATAATCACTAATGGGAATAGATTATAAGTATCTTTTTAATTGAATGTGAACTAGAAAACATCCATACAAGATCGATAGATCTTAGTTCTTCAATTTCGAAATAGTTTCCATCAGGATCTGGCATCAGCTGAAGTCAGTGAAAAATACTGTACACAGGACAATTGCTCAGTCTATGTTTTAGGTTCAGAAATCCATACATTTCAGCAAATTAATTGAACTCGGAGATGTAAAGCATCGAGTATCAATTCGGTGGTTTAAAGGCTCGGCGCTTTCTATGAGTCTTATAGGTGTTGGTTTTGATCTCTGGATGGAAACGACTAAGGAGTCTTATATTGGAACAAAGTAGCATCCCAATGCTTCATAACTGATTATTATTTTAACGTTTAAGAGTAAAGGTAGTTATATATAATTATTGATCACAATAGTAGATTAACATAATTGCTTTAGAAAATTATATTGCATTGAAAAGGATTTAATACATAACATATCTACCTTGAATTAGTCAGATTTTTATTTGATTCATATTGCTTTCTGTGTTTTTCCACTTCAGTATTAATTTTTGTTTGCATAATATCATTCAATTTCTGGAAACGGAGTAGAAATGTAAAATATTTAACATAAATAAAAAGAATATTTTGATAGATCACTTAAACCATGATAGAGGTAGGTGCATTTGTCATTTAAATGTAGGTTCTGTCAAATGAGATTATAGTATACTATTCTGAACTATTAAAGAAAGGAAGTAGTAAGAATGCATTAGCAGTACAAATGAATCATTCAGAGTTATCTATAATGGTGATAAAATTGTCGATGACAATGCCTATTCACTTTCTCTTCATTTCAATAATCTACCAAAGATATTATAAATCTTTAACTATATTTGAAAATGATAATTATTTAGCTTTTTCTGTTACCATGGTTATCATTTTTAGTTCTACAAATCAATCACCTCTTTTATGCTCTTTTAATCTGTCACCTGAAATCGGGTATTTTCCTGTTCCTATGATTTTTCTGGTTATAATATTTATTAGATTCAACCTTACATTTTATACAATCTGTTCTTTTTCGAAATACGAACCGATTTCCTTGTATTTTTGTTTCTTTGCTATTCGTTTCATCGGATAATGATGACGTATAATCCTGTGATAGGTTTTTTACTGGGACAACTTATTTCCAAATTCATACACTCATGAATGAAATGATCGACTAGAAATCGGTCTATAAATCATTGGGAATGAGCACAGTATCAGTTGATTGGTTTTCCCTAATCAATCATAGAATTATGTAATAACATACGCAAAGGTAATCGCCTAGACGTTTCGTAATTAAGCTAACGTAAAGTGTGTCAATTCCTTTTTTAGTTATGTCGTATAGTATGAAATGTATAATGATAAAGTATTGTTTATTAGTTAGTATCATTGTATATTTGTACGTATAGTATCACAAACAATTAAATTGGTAGCATCTGATACTTCATTGACACTTTTCGAGGCTTTATACTAAAATATAACATCAACATCATTTTGACATTCAGTCAGCATTACCTTGTTACACATACTTTTAACGTCGATTAACTTTAGGTCGTAAGGTCCTTATGAGAGTGTTGAAATCAAAATAGTTACATGTAATATTACATGAATTTCCTTTTTGTGTGTTTCGCATTTAAAAACGTGAAGGAATCTTAGAAAGTATGAAACATTCCAAAATTTATGAAATGAATTGATGTACATTGACAAGCTGTCAACGAATCTTATCTTTAAATTCAACGTTTTTTTGTTATTTTTGACAAAGTTTTCTTGGTCATACAACTTTATTTCGATAAACCTATAGCTTAGTTCAATGCAAGTTAGTGCAACACTCCAAATTAAAAACATGTCTAAGAACACAGGTTATTGACTAGGTTGGCTATAACGACCTGTTCGTCACATAGTATATCTGCTAAGTAAGGTATTAAAGAACTTTTCTACTTTTGCTTGCGTGCATGGATTTTAATGTAATTACGTCTCGTTCTTTCAGAAGATATATAAGGGGAAAAATATGAGTGAAGGGAATGGTTAGTAGCTGATAAGATAACACCTGTCAGGAATTTGCAAGAGTTTAGATGTCTATCCACAGCCATATTAATAATAAAGATTCACCACACACCTTGCTAACTGCTTTGAACACTCTCCGCAATACAGCAAAATCTTTTCTCAAAAGCCCGGGAAAGAACAATGGAGAACAGTAATGAATAATATGTAATATGCAAGAATTGACAAATTGTAAGAGTAAATGACGAGTAATCCCAAAAGCATGAAATCTCTTTATATAATAAGTCAGATGGAAAACTTTCTTCGATAACAGTAAAACACGAGAAGACCAAGAGAAAACAGAGGAAAAAGTAACACCAAGATAATTGACCTTCGACACCGTGTTTATCAAAGAGTCTCTAATTGCACAAGCATTATGGGATCTCAAAAAAGTTTTTGGATGCCTTTGGGTGAAATAAGCATTATATTTGGTAAGAAATCGATTAATCAAATAAATTAACAAATAACTAAATTTTGTATTACTTTCTACTTACTTTTATAAAAGTAGCATCGGCAACTATTTTTTCTAATTGATCACGATTTTCAACTACATTAAATGGTACAATTGATTATGAAAACAAAATGGAATTATAGTTTTAAGTTATGCAAATGTCAAAACAAAAATATGTTATTGATGTGTGGGCTAGAATGATAATGATTAGTTCTCTGCTTAGTCGGACATGTAGATAATCCGACAGGTGTCAGATGAATTATATATTCCCCTATCCCTGTTATTATTACTCACTTATTATTGATTGTTCATTGTTGTTGGATTGTGTCGTGTTTTTGATGTGGAAATACATTTACGTTGTGGTCAGGCTAATCACGTGTTCTTGATCTGAGTTGTGTTGAAGTCCTGTAGAATAGACACTGGGAGGGAATCTAGTGTATATATTCGTCTAAGGTAAATTAACGTCCCATATGTGTAAATGTGGAAACCCAACCGTTATAACATTAGACGAAGTAAAACCGAGCTTTATAACAGTTATGACTTGTTGTCTGTGGTTAGAGATGAAGAAAGTAAATACATATACTTCTAAATGTATATGCATGTACTAATCAACAACCAAATTTTACATATTATCGATACTCAAATTATATTAAACAATACTTGAACATTATTTCATGATTTTTACTATACAGAGATTTGAAGAGAAAAACGTTTCAACGAGAAATTAGTTTTTATTACAGAGTAATATCAAACTGAAAATCGTTGAAGATCAGGTAATCAATGAATAACTGCTTTGTACTGGTTTGTGACTATATATATGATCAACCACAGGAACTTTAAGTATTGTGGTAAAAACAAAGCCTATAGACCATTGAGATAGGATTGAATGAACATTCTGCAGCTTAAATAAAAGCTTACCTTAAAGTGAATAATTTTAAGAAGCCCATAGTTCAGTGGTAGAAATAATCAGATACTGAGTAGTAAGTAGCTTCTAAATAGGCTCCGAAATTTCTGGTGAGCAACTGTACACTGGTTACCTATTGTCCGTCTGATATTAGTGAGGGATATAATTGAACTGGATATTATCTTTTTATCAGGATCCATATTTTATAAGCAGAATTTTAAAGAGTTAGCTGTGTGACTTAATGATCACTAACATAACAACAACATTTATTTTAGAGTGTAAACGCTTCTGAACTTCCTGTTTTTAGGCATCACTTTCAAGGTATAGAAAGCATTTCAAGATTTATAATATTAGTTTCAACAAGTATCAGAATTCTAATAACAAATATACTACTTGTGATATCCCGATTAGTAGAAAACTGTATTTCTGACATTTCGTGACTTAATGTAAGCTACTTCTTTAGGGCAAAGAAATAACCGAAATCAGAAGTATAAATTTATTCTTTTATAATGTTGATATCTGATGTTAACAACATCTTGAGTTTACTTGCAGTTTACTCTAACTAGCTTCATCAGATACTCTTGTTAAATGTAAACATTGTGTATCATGATATTGGTAATGGATTTTATTTTTCAATTGTAGATGTTAAGGACTGCAAATGATCAATCACTTAAAACATATATACACCGTCAGCGGACCACCTTGATGTTGACTTTTCAGTCAGTCAGTAACAGCGTAAAACTTCGTGCGTACGTACATCAGTTCGAGTTGCCATACCACATTATGTTGACTTTTATTTATAATCAGAATTTGGCTAACATCTTAGTCCACGACACATTACTTAGACATTATATCTTACAGTATACTTGGTACTAAATCATTTTTAATATATATTTATTTCGAGATCGATTATCGTTTTGTCAGTTCAGCATACAGGAAATTTGGGAAATCGAATTAGTCAGTACTCTTATATTTTTTGCCTGAAGTATGTTGATTTAGCTGTTGCTCAAAATGTGAGTGCCACTTTATTGCTAACAGTTAAATTATTCTAGACAGTTTTAGCTCCATTTTCATAAGAATAAATTTCCTATTTATACATATCAAAGTTAATTCAAAAATCCAGTAGAATGCCTTGGGTGAATTAGGTGTTGAATGTTACTACCGTTTCTCTTTAACATGTAATGAGCGTGAGTTATTCCAAAAACATCTGTGGGTTTCAATAGTTTAAGTGAGATTGAGGTTTGATTTCACTCAGGCTTCATTAGTCTTTGCAAGCGCAATTTTCTTGCTTATTCTGTCATATAGGTAAACAGAAATAGATGATAAGTGAATAGTTGTGAGATTTGAACTGTAAAGAATTTTTTTAAACAAATATAATCTGGCATATAAGTAATGTGTTTGATTTTACTATAAATCAATGAGTTGATCTGTTTTTCTAACTCTAAATAAATCAAAGAACTGACGATACTTTGGATAGTTCCCAAAAACCTTGAAAAATCGGACGTCATTTATTACAGTGATATATGACCACACGGGTTTGTAAAAAAAAGGTTCAATAAATGAAGATTTATACTCTGACATTATTAAACGACGTCATCTTATCAAGTATCAACTGTTTCTACAGAAGCAGTAAACTGTCTCCAAATAAATGAAGCAGAACCTGATCACTGGAAGTTAAATATTGTGACTGAGTTTTTCACTAAAAACTCGTTTGATTTCTAAGAAGAGAATTTTACTAATGATCTAAAGTCGGTGCGGAAAAGATTTTAACTGATATTTCTTTTAATTTTTACATTCTTATATCATTTGAAAGAATCGACCATTATGTTAAGCCCTGGTGATCTAAGCTGATAAAACGAGATAGATTAGTATGACACTGTGGTATTCAAACATCAAATGTCAATAACTTCTTGGCAATAGTTATATTTGAAGACTTTATTATTCAAAATTGTACTACTCTTATTACCTGTTTTATGAGTGAACTTCCACCATTTACGCAGTTCATTGACTACATTGCTTCCTTGGATTAAATTAAAGCTATTTTGCTGGGATTTATTTGAATTAAATGTTGACAACTTTGAACTGTCCATAATCACACCAGGAGGAGGTAACTGATGTAACCAGTTTCTTAACCGAGTCAATAATATTCGGATTGTATGAGGTAGTAATGCCTCTTGAGGACTTTCATAATCCAAATAAGCTGGTTGACGAGAAAATATTTTAGCATTGTTTGAAGGACGCCATCGTTTGGCTGGATCAGGTGAACGTGGAAAGTATAAGCCACAGAGAGCGCTTGAAGAAACGGGAGAATCGCTTGGTTTAAACATTGCAGGAAGTGTTGAGTACTATGTATTATGGAAAGAGTTAGAAAAGAATACTAATTAGTAAAATTGATGTTTACAACATAATTATGTTACTGAGTTTTACACAGTTGTTTCTCTCTATCTCACACCTCAGGAAACACAATATCTTCACTCAGTTTCAGCAGTGAGCTTCCATATCATTTCTAAATTAGTTCACTTCAAAGATTGTAGTTTCTCACCATAAATTCTATCTTTAAGTATCTTAACAATGAGAAACACAAAAAGACATAAGGCTTGTTCCTAAAATCCATGTAGAAGTATGATGTCAATTTTACTCATCCCAATTATATTTAATTGTGGATTTACAATGTCTTTCAAATTAGGTTCCAAATAAATCTAACTAAGCTATCACAATAACACTGAACAAGTAAAAAGTGCGGTTTAATCGCAGAAGATACTTATGTGTGGAGATAGAAATTTGTTTTCAGCATTGTTTTCTTTTATTTACTAATTAAATTTTAGGGATAAATCGTTTAGTCCTAACCTGTACTAATTGAAACAGTTTATTGTTCTCAATTTTCTAGTAAAAGCTGCCATATTTAGCTGACTCGGATGGATAATTTTGATTATTTAATGCAAATTATCACGATTTGAGTGTTTTTTTGAGAGTATGTCATTTCCAGTTAGGTTGAGATGCTTGTGGGTATCAGATATCTAGCAGGGGAAAACTTTATTAAGCAATTAACAGTTTATGAGAATGAAACTGTCTATTATCAGTGATACACATCCTAAATTGAATGGTTTTTATTTGAAATGCTTGCGCAAAATGAAAGGAATATCAGAGCGACTAACAACATTATCATAATCAAAAATATCTGTTTCTTAAAATATTAAGTATCTACTAGTATGGGCAAGGTATTGGCTATGTATCTGAGTCCATCGTTCATGTCCACTTATTGGGAGTTATATGTAGTGACAGCATGATCTTTGTATCAAAATCACGTATAAATAAATCGTTATTGATGAGTGGAGCCGATTATTCCATCGTTCGATGGAAAATCAGATAAGGAACATCCGTTCTTTACTGATTTCTAGAGTTGTAATCTTTCTCGGAATTGACTTTGTGTATACGACTGACAGGAAGACATTCATCACACAAGACGTCTCCAGTGTGTATGACTGTGTTTAAGCAATCAACACATCCGTGCCTATTCAGAATTTATCACTAGTCTCACCTTATAAGTAGTTTCGCAATATATGTACCAAACATAATTAAGCTTGGGTGCAAATAGCAGATGTAGCCTTACGTACCACTTCATTACAAAGCTTGATTAGAGGGACTTAACTAATCGTTTTTTCAAATATAAGTATTATCATAATTATTAATCAACACATGTGCTCGACAGTTATCTGTTCTAACTGTAATGCCACCTAGAATTATGCTCGACTAACAAAACACTCAAATATTTTAGGTGAGTAGTCTAACTTAAAAACTTAATTACTATATTCCAGATGACTGAATACACAATAATAGTGTTTCAGAATTTTCCTTTCATTAATTAAGCAGAGGATGGAAATACAAGATTACATATAATTTTCATTACAAAGTTTGTTAATTGTTTATGTTTTTTAATGAGATCATAAACCGACTAATTTTGAACCACCATTAAGAACCTGTAAGCAATGGACGGTCGTTTCGTCCTAGTATGGAAGTCCTCATCGGTGGTAAGCTGAGATTGATTAGTTCATGATTTCAATGAGATTCAACAAGCTCTACAGCCCCAAACTGAACATTATCTATATCTTTAAATGAAATTTAGTTTTAATTTTATTATTACAACAGTGAAGGTAGATCTGAATTATACTAGATCACAGTAACATCCTTCTCATTATAAACGTATAATAACAAAACGCATCTATTTATATCTTATAATAAATCTGCTTCCTTCTAAAAATCTATAGTACATATTCTCTAATAGCATCTATTTATAAATTTCATTGACATAATTTGAAACACATATACTTTCTTACTGATATAGATCACTTGCTAGCCTATTAAAATACGCTTCACATTTCATATCATGAAGTGGATTCGAATTACATTATTTATACTTTTGATATAACGTCACATGATTTCATATATCAGTTGTTGTCATCTAATTTATCTGTTTATTCAGTTTTTCCATAAAAGATTGATTGACATAGCTATTTGAGGCGAATTAGACTAGTCATTTCAAAATAATTGAACTAGACCATTTAGTTGGATACATATTTCGGAAGTATTTTGCCTGTTATTGTTATACTCATAAGCCAAAGCATTTTTTTTATAACTAAGTAATAATTTGTAATGATTTATAATACTATAATTATTAGATCTACACTGTTGCAGAGCTAAATCAAGGTGCCTTTGGGCTAAGTAAACCTTTCTGAGTGTGATTGGCCTTGAAAATGTCCTTTTGACTGATTCAACTGGGATTGTAGTCTAGGGTTAAGAACCAAACACCAGAATCAATCACAGAAGTAGCTCTCATGTGGTAGAGAATCTTAAAATTCCAACTATCACCCCTATTCTCTTGACACCTTGTCAAGATTTTTATTATGAAGGGGTTTAACCAATCGAGATTATGATGAACGGGTTTTGAATTGTTAAAGTAAATGCACAGAATGACATATAATAGATAAACTAAATAGTACTATGTGATCGAATGATGAATGATCATGAGACTCGATCATAGGCATGAATCCTTTGATTAACTGAGATCAAAGGCAACATCACTAGCCAAAGCAATGAAATATTCAACACAAGAATAATTATAATTGGAAGTCAATTGGAAGATAAAAATAAATTAGAAAATACTCAACGTTGAAGACACTCGAGTGCTGATGAAACTAAGACTTAATTATTAGGCTTAACTTTTATCCAAAATATCATTTATTTACTTTATGAATGAGTATAGTGTTGATCGTATTGTCTCAAATTAAAAATCATGAATTTAATCTCAAAAAATGTTTTATTTCTTACACGTTTAGAATTATGTAATAATTTTGTAATACGTGAGAATAGTTGACGACGAGCACGACCATGACACATGATTAGGAATTCTTCAAATCGTTTTTGAAGTCTGTTAAATAAATAATTAAGAGGGTTGAATACTTGTCCCTGTTCTAAAATAAACACTGAGTAATCAATATGCGATTCAAACGATTAGAAAATAAATGAGCTATTGATAAGTAGTGATAGTTCTAAAATATAGGATATAAAGGAATGACTATAGGTTTCTACTTCTATAAAATAGTTGAATATTTTATATTTAACTATAGTAGCTTCAATATTTACCAAACTAGCCATATTTTTTTATGAATGTAATATTCCTAGGAAAAGCAAGTTTATGAAGAAAGTCCAAAAGTGATATCATTTTCTTCGAAAGGGAGGTCAATAGTTGACTTTTATTTGTTTATGAGTATCGTTACTCAAGGCGGCCTCCTTGAATATCTGGACTACCTATTCCTCCGATCTAGATATTTCATCAAGTTATCTGTTTTGTTGTTTGTTTTAGCACATCATTATGTCTATTGTGCACACAATCTATTCAGGCGCGTTTATGAAAAGTTTACAACCTTTCGCTATACGGGATACAAAAAGGTACAATCAGCGACATCATGGTGGCGGGCAATATGCATTGAAACGAATGAACATTAATCAAATGTGGATTACCAAACTTCTAACATCTAACTGGTCATCATTCAAAATTTATCATCACAATCGATCAAGGTATAAGAAAAAGAAACTTGTTGAAATACTTTATGCTGAGAATTCTATGTTGTACCAAAAATATAATGTTGAATAAAGCTAATAATAATAATAATAATAATAATAATAATAATAATAATAATAATACTAAGTTAATGTGAAGAAAAATATCAACTTTTGAGTACCACAGACAAAACCAAACCGTCACGAAATGACAACTGCAACCACATATTACTATGTGAACATTCTAGTTACGTGTTCTTAAGGTAAACTACAAAAAATATAAGTTCTAGGATCTTTATATTATTTAAAGAAGAACCAATTTCTCATTTTATTGCTTTAAAAAATAAAATAGATTTCAACAAAAGTATATTGGAAGGCCATTAGGTTCAAATCCATCGATGTAATTTATATTAATATGTGGGAAACTTGCTGTTTTGTTATCATAACATGCTACCATCACCTTGTTACAACCATTATGAGCTATTTGCCATTAAAACAGAAATTACATCATAATATTGAGTTACTAAGTCATAATGTCCATGATGTATTGTTCAAATGGTAGAGTTGCTTATACTACGATGTTTACAACTCAGTTATCACTCTGAGTGTTATTTTATACTTAGTTTGAATGTTTAACACTCATATAACATTTTATTCAAAGAGTTTTAAAAAATGTCCTACTCAACAGAACTTCATTGATTTACAAGAGAGAATTTAGCGATTCTTTATTTTTTACCCAAATACCCTTAAATGATTCTTTATAGGATATAACAATTCAACAAATAAAGAATTATTTGCCTCTTTTTATATTTTGTGACACATTCATTTAAATCCTCAATAATTAAATGCACCGTTGAATACCTAAGCCTAAATGATGTTTTTAATTTAGAAATTTAGTAGTTTAAACAAGTCAAATGGTAAAAAGGTATTTAAAAATCGACAGTTGACATTCACTTTAGTACCAATCGTTAGTATTACTAAGTTAAACTGTAATCTATGGTCTATGCTTTGATGTATGAATGTTTTGAATTGTAATACTTGGTGTTTAGTGAGTCGAATTATTGGGAAATGTTCTAAGGATTTTCTCTATGTAATTTAACAAGGCAACAAAGAGGAAATGCCAGTATTTCCCACTTGATAATTGTTGATCTAAAGTTTCATACATTCAGCTCTACAATTACTGATGTTACAATCAAAACTGCTTGGGACAAATTTATAGGATATCTATTTGATGACAGATAATTTCAGATTTATAACTTACTGTTTGAGAATTAGTTTTTCACCAAACTCAGTAGAAACATCGAGGAATAGTGACGGAATTGCATGTCCGGGATTATTTATCTTTTTACATAAAAAATGAAACATTAAAATAATTGTATTCGGCATAATTCTGAAAATTTAACGGTTAAACCAAATGGTTATCGACTTCTATAATTTTGGAAGTACATTGTAAATAAAAGTAGATGAAACTGAGCTCGTATGATCAGAGACATTTCCTTAGTATTCTAGTAGCAATAGTTGACTCAATTACAAAGACCTGTCTGGTTGCGTAGTGAACGAACATTCTTATGTGGAAGGTTAATTTATTGTTTAATGCACAATCTCACAGTAGTTTAATAATATGTGAAAATCATATATCAAATACATCATTAGCACATCTTCTTAGATTGTCTCTTACAAACTTCAATGTTAGTTCATTCCTGTTGTTATCATGGGTGTTTTCAGTTTCCTTCTCTTTTCTATTCATCTAAATCTTCTTAACCTTCTGCTTGCAGACATTCCACCTACGACTGATGTGAATACTACATATATGCAAATCTAAGTAGTATACACAACCGTAGTAATTTAAACTTAAATCTCAGTATATCTACATTCCTCTTAGCATTCATGCTCACCAATCCCCCTCGTATATACTAACCGCCTATTTTATTTTGTGCTATGAGAACATTTAAATAAAGATTGGACCATCATAAATAATAACCTAGAGAACATTTTGAGTTCTCTTTTAATATTATTTATTTATTTACTAAAAGTAGTGTCTAAAAGAAGTTGGATTTTCTGTGAAGTGCAGTTAAGCGATAGGGATAATAGTAAACATTTTATATAAATCATCAGAGACTGATATCACCTGTACTACTATTTCAAACAGGAAAGAATTCAAGGCGTGCATAGTGTTCACTCGTTATACTATAGCACTGTACGATCACAAGCTCACAGAAAGTTGCGACCAAGTCCTTAAAGCTCTACAGTAGACCCTACACAACTTGAGTACTTAGTCAAAATACCAATGGTCATCATTATCTAGCCTAATTAATAAGTGCTGTGGTATCTTGAAGCTTTCCAAGTTTTTGATTAAAGCCTTACCCTATTAAAATTACTGCTTCGGTTATTAGGCAATTATGCACCGATTATATTATCTTTTGACAGATTTTCATTTCTATGCTGTAAATCATCAATTAATTTATTCCAAGTAATTCCTAACAAATCGCCTCACTCTAATCAGTCACAAAATAAATAGTGAATTGTAAATTCTGCTAAAAGCCTTCTAAACTTAGCAACTAATCATATTCTCTTTAATCAGAAGAGATTGTCCCATTAACAAATCGACAAAGACCATAGGAACTGATTGGGAGTTTTCAACTGGCATATATACTTACATTAAAAACTTCATTTCATTAATCTGACAGAAACAAAACTAATGGCATCAATAGAAATAAGTTAGGCCAATCAAATCACAATTAATATCTGATTCTATGTCATTTTAATATGTTTTGTAAAGTGTAATATTAGGGACAAACTAATGTATAAATACCGTTGCATATAAATGCATAAATTTACCTGCCATGCATGAGGATTTTGATTGGATGTGATCCTATAAAAGTGATTCATATGTAGCTTGCATTTCATCTGTATAAGGAAAAGAAAATTTATTTAAAAAAGACATACATCAGTTATATATGAATAATTAAATGACTAATGTAAATTATAGTTAGTAAATTGTATTTCATTTTGATCTAGTTTAGGGGGTATAATAAAGTTTTACAAAAGTTTAACCAACTTTCTTTATGTAATTAAAATGTCATTCTTCTATCTCATGTACTATAACTTGTTTTATTATCCTAAATAAAAGTGATTGAATGAGTGTACTTGGAGACATCTGTGTCAGACGTTAATAACTATAATGTTTTTGTAGTGAATAAGAACACCAGTGGGGACAATCGAATGTATTTCGACACAAAATTACAGGACTTGTCAATAAAATCTAACAATCATAAAGTAAATGCTTCATTTGCAAACTGCCCATCAATTGTCTCAAAATGACTCAGACTTCATTGTTCTTGTATTTTCATAAGGATTTCATCCTGTTTCCATTCTTTACTATTTGATCCTCTTGTCTCTCTGCTGCGAGATCTTCTGTTCACGACTAACATCATATACTACTTATGTCAATATAAGTAGCACACACCGCATGTTCATTTAAGGAATGTCCTAGTAAGCGATCTAAAGACACAATTCTCATTAGTCTTGATTAGAAAATTCTGGGTTTTATTACACATATCATTTTAGGTATATAATGGTACAGATAGACGTAACAGATCTTCAGTGATCCCTAGATTTTATTTTATTTAACCCTACTAGGTAATATGGCTGCACTTTATTCCATGTTATTTGGTAGTATCAGTACATAGATAGCTCGAAGATGAACATGTAGACTTTCACTTGGTTATTGCATAATACTGATAATAATCAAAAATTACACTTTCTAAAAATGTAATGCGTTTTGCTAGAACAAAATTTTTAAATGCATACATTCTTACATTCTTGTAAAATTTATCTTTCTCAATTTCGCTCTCTCCCTCGACGACTGTAAATGAGCATTAGAATTAACAGATGAAATCATCACATGAATTCACTTGTCATATATGATATGGTGTACTTAACTACCCAACACCATACATTATTTATTGTGAAATGTTCAACCGGGTCACTTTTGAGTTAGTAACTCACTGATGACAATGGTGGATGTGTCGCTTAATTTTGTGGGTCAGTTGAAGTTAGACGTCAACACCGTCGGATGCCGGCTTAGTGGTCTAATAGTTAAGCGCCTGGAGAGAGACTGATGGGTTCTGGGTTCGAATCCCGCGGGGCGGGGTCGTGCATGAGCACTGCTGAGGAGTCCACAATAGGACGAAACAGCCGTCAAGTGCTTCCAGGTTCTCCATGGTGGCCTAATTTCAATTGACTCATGATCTCAACTGTTGAAATTACTACAATCTCCACAAAACCTCTTCTGATTCTTAAAATAAGTTTTGTGTTCATATGAATGAGGATTGTTTATTTTGATGTTAAAAAATTCATGAAGTAATTCTCAAGTACACTCTTATGTTTTTAATTAACTAAAATTTATGAAATTCAATGTTTCAACGAAACATAAAATTGTACTTCAAGTGTGTTTTAGCCACAGTTATCTTAAACAAAAGCATTTTTCTTTATGATTTATTCATATTTATGTCTGTTCAATAAATGAAAGGCGAAATGAATAGAATACGGTTAAATGATTTTCCATCCGGTATCGATTTGCCATTGTAATATACCAGTTCTGATGATAGTGATCATAATTTCGATTAGTTCACTTGTTTAGTTCGATGATCATCTCATATTGGATGAATAGACGTATGTTTATGAGTTTGATGACCGATGATCATGTGAATAATTTATGTATGTACACTCGATTGACTGAAACAGAACTTTAGAATGTTGATAAAAGTTTTAGTTAAACGTGAGTTACAATATGATGTTCTGAAAATTCTATGTTGTACCGAAAATATAATACTGAATAAAGCCATCAATAATAATAAACAGGGTTGTTCGACTTAATTGCATCTTATTCAATTACGGTTAGTCATGAACCACTAAGTGCTGTAACTAGGGTTCATTTGAATGGCAAGTATACAGCTAACCAACCAGAGCATTTCTGTCACAAGCACTAAAAAATTATCTAGAATAGATATTAATGAATGACTCGTTCCTTTCTTTCGTAATGGTTGCGGTTACTATACTGACCTATGTATACGGAGATTACTTACAAAGTTTTCCTGATGTTCCATCACTCACTAATTTTAACTAACTTTATTTTTGTTGATTTTGCAAAACCTGGTTAGGTAACTGATTGAAAATGTGAAAATGTCACTGTCAGGTGTAAAAGTAGTCAGCGACTGAAATGTTATTCAAACTCATTGGATAGCCAAACAGAAAACTGACAGTAAAGTGCGAGTTTTGATTCAAATTCTAGTCTTATTTCAACATCAATCAGAATATCTGTTGTTGAGGACGTTAGATCCCCAGAACTCACTTGGAAAAGGTCCTAATTTTGTAATTTTGTTCTAAAAATTTGAGTGTTATGTTTTCACTCCAAAAGACGTTTAGTTGACCTATAGCTTACATTTCCCACTCGGAAACCCTTGACTGTCATTGGTTGACGGATTTTTTAGTACGTTATTTTGTGGCTCTTCCAAGGGCGTTTTTATCATTGTATAAATAAGCTTGATTTGTGTGTTTAGTGACCTCGTATCTTCTAGGTGCTTGTAGAATACATTCTCTACGCCTCATCAAAACTTCTTGATCTAGTTAGCAGGGCCGAGGACAACGGATCTGTATCTTTGACCTTCGTTCCCTTTACCGAGTAAAGTGAACTCGTAATAACATTCAAGCATATCATCTGTATGTTACAGGCTGACAATTATAATAATTTAAATTTTATATAAAAACATAAGCCCTCTGTTCTATAATGTGCTTCTCAGACAGAATTATTTGGTTGAGTTTTGAATACTGACTCATGAAAATTTCAAACACAAGTATGTTTTTCCTTAACTTTATGATTACAGTGAACCAGAGAAAATGGGGGTTCCTTCAGTGAAATGCCGTTTGTATTAGTTTTTAATATTTAAGTTTACTTGAAATAAGATTACTCAGATTAAATATTCAACTTGCTTGTAAAATTAATAAAAAAATATGCATAAAATTACCTGTTTTGATTCAAAATCTGTTAAAGCTCTAGCTAGAATAGTTTGTCCTTTTTTTAAAGGACGTACACGATGATAAATTGAACCGAGATTATCCAATAAACGATCACATAACTTCAGTGCTTTTAAATGATCTGCCAATGTTTCTTCAAAATGCTGTTCTAAGAAATAATAAAACATAATATGTATTTATGTGAAAAAATCCTTACAAATATAATAATAATGACGCACTGGAAATCGTATAGCATAAGGTCATAATGAGTTTGAAACCTTAATTGTATGTTATAAAAATGAAGTTTGTAAGAACTGTGTTTGATCGTAAAGTGCCGACAATTTTCATAAACAAAGTCGAACGAATAACCCGAACGATATTATCTTCATACAAATATTCAACAATATTTGAACGATTAATTTGACAATAATTATACACCAATTATATAGAAGACATTATTTGTGCTATTTGAAATAATCTCAGCGATTCCAACGTTTCGTCCAGTAAACGTGTCTAGACTTCTTCAAACTCATAATTAAAATCAAAATGACCAGAGTATATAAATATGGCTAGGTAGGCTTTTAATATAGATTTGATTGTCGAACGTCCTTTATTATCTGATTATTTTAGTTATAATTGCTTTGAAGAAATATAGACAAGATTGTTGGACGAAACGGTGGAATTATTCAGATGTCAGTCACTGAGATTATTTAACGTGTGACATTTATACGTAAAACTATCTTTAGTAATTCAATGCAGTTCTACAAATATCTGGACTAATAAAAAAAGACAATTACTAGATCTAAGCATGCTTATCTAAACAAATACCATTAAAATGAATTATTTTCAAGTTCAGTAGAAAAACAATTGACTGTAAAGACTTTGTAAAGAAATAGGAGCCAACAGTGAATAACCGATAGAAGGTATATAAAGTTAAACAGATTATACATTTTAATAGCATCATCATTATTCAAGTATATTGGAGTCAATGAAAGGATATAAAGAATGAACTAAACATCGGTGAAAGTAAACGTCTTATTATTCGATGAATTCACTATTTGTGTTGTATATGTCGAGGAGACAGCTAGACAATTAAAATTATTCAATTTAGGTTGTTTGAACTTGCCTAATTTATGTATCGGTTCAAGTTAACAAACTATACAACAACTGTTGACAATGAAAAAGAATCTAATGGAATAAACAAAAATGCATTCGGAAAGAAAAGAAGGGAATTGGCAATGTTATATCATTACTCTAAAGGTTTTGAATAGTTGTCCCCGAGAAGTTGCTCACTTAAGTTTCAGAAAATATTGAACTATTACGTAACATAATAATCCTCAAAAAATTTCAAATAGATGACATTATTTCAAAGCAATTAATCCTTTTGATAACTTTTAATAATGTAATAAGAAGATGAAGATTATCAGAACTAGTCTAGTTGACCTTTTTATTTTTATATATAAATGTTCTTAACAAGTGTATTAGGTGTGATCAAATTGTTCGAAATGTATTGCGCTAATATATCACCACATAGGTGTGATAATCTTCGTGTTCTTATTACATCATCGACATTATTTCAGTTTAATAAGTTTTCAGATATATTGCTAAATATTTCAACTTTTGTTATACCCCGATAAGAATAATGAATGGTAGTTTTTGAGATCCATTTATGGACCAATACTATGGTTATATTTTTATCGTATAATTGTTATGTAATTAAACTGTTCATGTCGCTCTTATTATATGCTTTAATTTGACCCATAGGCTATTACTATACGATTTACCATTCTTGAGTTATGGCTTGTCTATTAATTACTATCTCCCTCATTCACAGCCACTTTTGGCCAAATATTGTACTAATGTTATTTTCTATTTTTTGGTATATAAACCAAGTATGTTTGAAATAGATGATTCATATTGCAGAAGCTGAGATTGGTGTTCTGGGCTTAACTGGATGGGCTAGACAGGAAGCAAGACCAATCCGAACTCTAGGCTGCTCGCACGTGCTTTATGCGTCACTGGTTCGATTGATAATTCACTGCTCTCTGATCGGCGATATCGTTGCGTTAGACAATAAACAGGGCACACAGGCTCACAAGTTACAACAAATTTATAAATAAAACTGTCCTATCAATGTATTCTGTTAGTATGTACTTTTTAGTTAGTAAATCAAATCAACATTCAAAGAATTTATGTATTATTGTCAATAAATGTGAACTTACATTTAATTGTGAATTCATTTCATATATTGATAATATTCTTGAGGCATGATTTTCTGTTGCATCTAACCAATCCATAACTGTACGAATGGAATGAATTACCTAAAATGTAATGATCAGAAACAAACATCAAATAAACCATTAAATGTAAATAGTTCATTATATGTAACTTAAAAATGTATACTTACCATTTATTATTGTACAATGAGTTTTGAAATTTTGTTCGGAGTCAAACTTTTTTCATTGATTCACTGAATACCGCTAATTATTTTGATGAAATTAGTCGGTTTGTATAGCGTGTACAAGACGCTATGCAATAAAATAAACTTATTTTATTCTATCCATGCTTTCTTCAGAAACTATATCTAGACTTAAACCTCAATATATTGAATATTAGGCAGCAGTATTTATAGTGACATATCATAATTCTCCTGAGAACATCCTCTTCTTCAAAATGGAATATAATTCTGAACAAAATGACCCACCGTGAACTTTATACAATCTGGTAGATGTTAGTAAACTATAGTAAGAGCGAGTCAAATGACTCACCTACTCAATTCATATATAAGAGTCTACATTACCAATGTAGGCAGTCTCTAGCATTGTTATGCAGTCAAAACACATATGACTGGAATATATTCTAGAGTAGTGACTTCAAACTCAAAAAATGAGTAAGTTACTTTTTCATCTTACTATCAAATGTACCATTTAAAGTAACACATAGATGTTTCTAGGTATATATGTTTGTAATTATATTAAGATGAAATGAACTTTGGATTTAGTCTCATATTCATTTTATCAATGTTTAGTATAACATTTTAGTAAATAACTTATGAAATCAATAATCACAAATGAAACATTGAAATATACATAGAAAAAGCACATTAAAATTAAACCTGTAATTTGATAAATCATATTTGACACTAACAGTGAATATTGAAAATTACCAGAAGTCTTAATTCATTAAAACAACAAAAAAAACGAGAACAAACATTCATGGATTGGCTGAATAGAAATTTAAAAAAAAGTTAAGTACAGAATAATGAGAATACTCAGTTGTGTATTTTTTTAAATTGATTATGGTAGTTTTCAAACCAAAAGTTTTTTATGGCGAGACTCTAATTTATGAACGAGACAATCAGAAGCGTTTGAGAGATTTCAAGGTCATGGCGCCAACTTCAGTGCTTAATGCTAACGTACGGTCGGTTCCCAGGGAATTTGGCACAAAACGTGATAATTGAAGGGTTGTAACAAATAAAACGGCGAGACTATATTTTGTGGACGAATCAATCAGGTATAACTTAACATGTCTTGGATTTCGGCGTGAAAGCCTTCCATCCATTTGGCTGAATAGATTTCTGGCATTATAGCTGATTTCAGTTTTTGATGAAAACCCTATATATAATTCCTAACTAAGGCAAATTATGACAATTATTGCGAAGTAGATAATAAAAGCACCAGTAACACTGGCTGTAGCTAGGTATTACAATATATACGGATGATTGGAGAGCCAACAGACTCCTATATACGCTTGGTTCTGTGCATCGTGTCGTTATCCACAAGTGGTATTTCGTGTACTCAACAACCTGAGTGCACACAAGCAATATTGAAGATATGTGGTCCAGGCTGAAGGAGTTTTTGAGACTTTATCATAGATCCAGAGGCCGACTATTCTGTAGCCATTTGGATGATTTCCTCTACTGCATGCATTACGATTTTAGAACCTGTGAACATTTTTCTAAATTTGATAAGTTTTCGAATCACATATAAGAAGTGTATCCACTTTATTTCTTTGGTTTTGTGTAATATATTTTTACTCTATACTGACTGTTTGCTAATTGACTAATATTTATCAATGTCACTTAGGATTTGTTCAAAAGTCGTCCATAAATTATAGTCTTGCCGTTTTTATTTGATATCTGCCAGTATTTGAATGTTCTACATTTTTTCAATGGACAGGTTTGACTTTGTTTATGGAAAAAACAACATTTTAATAAATTATACTGCTTAGTAATTTAGAGTAAATAACAAAGTTATCCTTTGAGAGAAACTCTTTTCAATCTCTGTTGACTCTGGTTAAGGTTTAATTTGTTCAATGTTTATCAAGATCGTACAAACGCATAATACAAATTCAAAGCTGTTTTGTTAGTAATATGGAACGACTAGATTAAAAACAGTACGGGAATACTGTTAACTAATCAGAACATACAAACAAGAAAAATATATATGTGCAAAACTAATAATAACTAGTAATTGGCATTGTTATGAAGTTATACAACAAAATACTTTAATACAAACATGATTTTATTTAACGTCTTCTATATAAAATAACTTTTGTTATTTATTTACACATATCTTTAAGCTAATCTAATATCACAGATTGAAATCATGAGTCAACTGAAGCTAGACCACCATGGAAAACCTGGAAGCACTGAACGGTCGTTTCATCTTAGTATGGGAATCCTCAGCGGTGCTAATCGACGATCCCGCCCGCCGCGAGATTCGAACACAGGACCTATCAATCTCCAGCGCGAGCGCTTAACCATTAGACCACTGAGCCGACCAGTATCCAACAATGTTAATATATAACTTCAACTAATCCACGAAATTGCGCCACCGTACACCATTGTCTTCAGTGAGTTGATATCTCACAACAGACCTGGTTGAACTCCACTGGTAACAGCTTCTCACTAGAACTCCAAGAGATGCCTCTTCAAGTCAGTCACTAGTGAGCAGATGATAGGCCCTGGGTTAGACTCTCTCTGGGAGCGGGATCGTGGATGTGCACTGCTGAGGAGTCCCACACTAGAACGAAACGGTCATCCAGTGCTTCCAGATTTTCCATGGTGATCTATCTTCAAATGACTCATGATCTGAACAATTGAAATTGTTAAATTCTCCTAGTTTACATCACATATATGATCTTAGTTAAATAACTGTTGAAAACCACCAGGCACTAACAGATGTTTCGTTTAATTATGTGGTCCTCAACAGTCCCTATACACATCATGTACACCATTGTATAGAGAATCATTGGTTTGAAATTTAAGCACTCGTTGCAAAACTTTAAATTATAGTCTCGAGCCCTAGTAAAATTGTGATTATTTAATGCTTTATAGTTTCCAATAAATAATTGACAAAGACCCACTCGTAATGTAAACTATGAGGGTTAAAACACTTGAAGTAAAACTGTAAAACTCGATAACTCATTAATGTTTACACTATTACACTTTATACCAATGTCACATCTTAATTTAAATGATTTATATATATATATATATATATATAATAAAAATGAAGGTGAAGGTCCGATGTAAAGCACATAAATCAAAATATCACATCTAGGTAATCAAAAGTGTAATGATTGTTACTTATGTCTAATAGTATACGGAGCTCTCCCGTATATTTGAACGTTTTTGTATGTTGTGCTTTTTTTCATTGTAAAATTCAAGAGGTTTCTGTGGCATAATTGACTTCATAGTTCTTTATGTGATTTATGTATATTGTCTGAATATCAATGTGTTTACTAAAACAATGAAATCTAACTCTCTACACTAAGTTATATATATATATACAATATATAATACAAACATGATAGATTTTAAAAGTCATTCATTATTCCCACATTTAAGAACTTAGAAGATATTCAAATAATTCCATCAAGAAAACTAATAGAAGAATAATTATGAATTAATATGACTCTCATTCATTCATATTAATAAAGACAGTTTATTCTATTTAATCCAATTCTTATGACAACAATTTTCTCTCTTTTTTTTCTTCTTTTCTTTCTCTTTTCTTTTTTTTTGGTATTCACAGTTAATAAAATTAACATTTAAACATGCATGACATAAAACTATTCAATTTTAAGGTCACATTTATGTACAATATACAATGTAACACATTATACACTTGTTTAAATGTATCATTTTATAAATGCCTTAATCATTTTGAAAGTATAATAGAGGGTAATATGAATTCAGGATTTTAGTGAGTTCTATGTCAAAAAAGATTGTTAAAGAATACAATATAAAATTTAGAAATTCATTGAATCATTTAAAGTTCCAATGATTATTATATATGAGTGTTAAATGTTCAGTATATCAATAAACTTTTAAGAAGAATATCATATGTGAAAAGAAAGTTTGTTTATTTATTTAATGGTTAGTTGTTTTTCTATTGTCCTTAAATGATACAATTTACTAATTGATTAGCACAAATATGTTAGTTACATTGTTTAAAATTAATTCATAAGAGATAAAAATGTATGATAATAGAATAAGTGAAATGTGATCAGATATGTAATATAGGACTTATGTTTTTGTCTATTTTAGAACTCATTAAATGGATGTACTTATATCCCAGTGTTGCTGTTTATATGAGTACTCAATTTCAATAATTTACATTTTGAATGTTTAACAAGTTATTCACTGAATTGATAAGTCGAAATAGACAGAAGTTTATGCAATGGATATGATGGTTAATTATCATATAGGACACATTTTACAGTCTGAATCCCGTTACAAGCCACATTCTATCTTCTCTAGATAAATATGTAACAGTGTGAATGTATCAGCGCGATTCCCACAGTGTTCATATTTCAATTACGACAGATTAAACTTCAGTCAAGAACAATAACAAAAAGATCATTTAAAATAGCGCAAATGAAATATCTATTAATACTTTTCTTGTAGATATCCTTTTCTTTTTTACATATAGTTAATAACCATGATAATGATTTAACACTTATATATTGAGATTTAGATGGTGGTTGGAGGTAGTCAACAGAAAACCCTGGACCCGGGTTTCGTGCTACTTGGCACTCGTCAACAAGGTGTACCTGTAATCTTAAGGGAACTGGTGCACCCTAGCGGATCCGATCTCGTGTCACCCAGCTTCACAGTCAGAGACGTTACCACTGAGCTATCCGAGCCTTGACTAACCTGCCGTAGGACTGAGATGTAATCACAATTGATTGATCACTATGTGATGATCAATGTTATGCTTATCTAGTCCTTATTAGTGCAGATCGAATGCTATCGATCATGTTGTAATGTGACCACCAGTCTAGGTGACTCGACACTGCGGGCACTATGTATTGAGATTTAGATGGTGGTTGGAGGTAGTCAACAGGAATAGATTATACGACATCATGGTCTATTTCACAACAAATTATCAAAATACTAGGTTTACCTCTATACCATCTTTTGTTACTATTCTAAACCTAGTTTATTCTTATGGATTAGTTACTAAATGTTTCGGTTACTGATTAAATAACTTTTTCATTACTAGTTATTGTACATTGGTGTTATTCAAACCTGAACTTCCTCAATAATGTAGGTATATATTTTGTCCATTAGTCATCATAGAAGTGAAATCTAATTGGCAGATTTCTTTGCAATTGCATATAACTATCGAGTTATGAATTCTCGAACACTGATCATGACATGAAATACATTGACACTTCTTGAAAATAATCGTTTGAAATTAGGTCTCAATTATCCACAAATACAATTTACAGGTTATTCATAAAAGATATTTTTTATAGTTGAATAATCATGATTCGTATCATCATAATTCAGTTGGTAAAAACTTTTCCAAATGTAAAATTAAGTTCCATTATAAATCGGCATCACTGATTTCTTGGTCTTCTCATTGAAGTCAGTTTATATGAAAATGTATCTTTAGATTATTATTCAAT